TTGGGTGGTGGGTGGTTTGTTCATGTGTGATCCTGTGGGTGGGTGTCCGTGTGCAGGTGTGTTCACACCAGTGCTCGTGTGCACAGGCACCCATGTGCGTGGTGGGTGTCTGTCAGCAGGACTGTCCCTGTGGGTGGGTGTCTCTGTGTGTGGGTGCCCATGTGCATGTGTGTCCCTGCTCATGTTCATGGACACCCATGTGTGTGGTGAGTATCTATGAGTGCGGGGCGCCCACATGCATGGGTGGTCTTGTGGGTGGGCTTCTGGGGAGTGCAGAGGTGTCCATGTGCGTGGGTGCTCCCATGGGTGGCTTTCTGGGGGGTGCGGGGGTGTCCATGTCCATGGGTGCTCCCATGGGTGGACGTCCATGTGCGTGGTGGGTCTCTGTCAGCAGGACTGTCCCTGTGGGTGGGGGGTCCTGTGGGTGGGTGTCTGTATGACGGGTGTCCATGTGCGTGGGTGTCCATGTCCATGTGTGCCCATGTGCATGTGTGTCCCTGCTCATGTTCATGGGCACCCATGCATGTAGTGAGTGAGTGTGGGGTGTCCATGTGCATGGGTGCTCCCTTAGGTGGGTTTCTGGGGAGCAAGGGGGCGTCCCTGTGTGTGGGTGCTCCTGTGGGTGGACATCCATGTGTGTGGTGGGTCTCTGTCAGCAGGACTGTCCCTGTGGGTGGGGGGTCGTGTGGGTGGGTGTCTGTGTGACGGGTGTCCATGTCCATGTGTGTCCATGTGCATGTGTGTCCCTGCTCATGTTCATGGACACCCATGTGTGTGGTGAGTATCTATGAGTGCGGGGCGCCCACATGCATGGGTGGTCTTGTGGGTGGGCTTCTGGGGAGTGCAGAGGTGTCCATGTGCGTGGGTGCTCCCATGGGTGGATGATCCATGTGGGCGTGTGACCATGTGCATGGGAAGCCCTGTGCATGTGTGTCCATGTGCGTGTGTGTCCATGTCCACGGGCATCTGTGTGTGTGTTGAGTCTCTGTCAGCGTGGGCGGCTCTGTGCGTGGGCACCCACGTGCAGGGTGGGTGTCTGTCAGCAGGGCTGTCCCTGCAGGTGGGTGCTCCTGTGGGTGGGGGTCCACGCGCATGGACATCCATGTGCACACGTGTTTATAGTCACGGGTGTCTATGTGCATGGGTGCTCGTGTACATGGGCACCCATGTGTGTGGTGGGTCTCTGTGAGTGTGGGTGTCCACCTGCATGGGTGCTCCTGGGGGTGAATTTCCACGGGGTGTGGGGGTGTCCGTGTGCATGGGTGCTCCTGCGTGTCCGTGTCCATGTGCATGGGCAGCCACATGCATGTGTTTTCATGTGTGTAAGTATCGGTGCGCGTGGGCACCCACGTGCGTGGTGGGTCTCTGGGAGCGTGGGTGTCCACAGGCATGTGGACATGTGGGTCTTCTTCTTCTGCGCATCGGTGCTCCTGGGGGTGGGTGTCCACGTGTGTGGGTGCTCACCCATGTGGGTGGGTGTCCCTGTGCACGAGCAGCCGTGTGCGTGGTGGGTCTCCGTGTGTGACCACGGGTGTCCACGCACATGGGGGCTTCTCTGGATGGGTGTGAGGGTGTCTGTGTGCACGGGTGTGCGTGTGCTTGGGTGCTCCTGTGGGTGGGCGGCTGTGGGGGGGAGGTGTCCATGCATGTGGGTGCTCCTGTGTGGGTGGGGGTCCACACACATGGACATCCATGTGCACACGTGTTTATAGTCACGGGTGTCTATGTGCATGGGTGCTCGTGTGCATGGGCACCCATGCGTGTGGTGGGTCTCCATGAGTGTGGGTGTCCACCTGCATGGGTGCTCCTGGGGGTGAATTTCCACGGGGTGTGGGGGTGTCCACGTGTGGGGTGTCCGTGTGCATGGGTGCTCCTGCATGTCAGTGTCCATGTGCAAGGGCAGCCACGTGCACGCGTGTTCATGCATGTGGTGGGTGCCTGGGTGGGTGGGTGTCCCTGTGGGTGGGTGCTCCTGCGTGTCCGTGTCCATGTGCAAGGGCAGCCACGTGCACGCGTGTTCATGCATGTGGTGGGTGCCTGGGTGGGTGCGTGTCCCCGTGGGTGGGTGCTCCTGTGGGTGGGTGTCCCTGTGCAAGGGCAGCCATGTGCACGCGTG